GTGAAGATGTGGGAAGGGAGAGAATAATGACGGGTGCAAACACCCTTCGAAGTTGAGCTGAGACCAAATAGAGCTAAAAAAGTGGTTTTTAAGCTGGGATGCATAAAGGAGTCATTTGGGAGCCTTCAAAACAGTCAAGGCCTGGATCCCACCTCCAGAGCTTCTGATTTAATTGGTCTGGGGGTGCCTGGGCAACAAAACATGTAATATTTCCTAATTGATTCTAACAGGCAGTCAAGTTTGGGAATTGCTGATCCAGGACTCAGAGACTACATCTTCTTTGAGTCTGAAAATAAGAACCAAGAAAACGATGTAAAGATAGATCATTTGAATTGAAGACAAGTTTAATTGATGAAACTCACACATGTTGACTTGGATCGTCTCAGTAAAAAAAAAAAAAAAAAAAAAAAAAAAATTAAACAGGTGGTCTGATCATCTGTGGAGAGGGAAGAAGGAAGTTTGCAGACAGAGGCTCCTCAAATAGCCACTATGAGGGGAACACAGGAGAGGCTCCCGTAGCAAAGGAGTGATAGACAATATGGGCTAGTGATGATGTTGTGCCTGGGTCTTGGTTGAGGCAGGACTTCACACAGATTGGTCTTCTTAAAGCTGGGCTTCATAGACTGATGGAGATGTACAGAAAGTTGATGGAGGGTGATCCATGGGCTCAGGAAGGTCAGAAGAAGAGGAAGTCAGTTGACGATGGAATCCAGTGTTGGGCTGTGGTTGGTTAGGAAACAAGTTGAGCAGATCTGGAGAGTGGGAGAGAAGACCAGTAAGGTTGTGGGTAGAGAAAGGAACATTCACAACTGAGATCCCAGTTGGAAAATAATCCTTCAGGATCTATAACTCTTAGGGCACATTAAAAATATTAAAAATGCATGTATCACGTGACCTCTAAAGTTCAAGGAAGTTTGGTGAAATGAACAGTAGACACAGACTCTCAGATCAGTCATTAGAGCTCTGCCAACAACCCGTCCCTCTGTCCATCTTCAGGGCTCAGTGTACACTAGGAAGAGGCTTGCTGAGATAAATTCTCAGAACTTGTATACCTGAATCACTACATCAGCTTGTCAGGTTGCTTAGCTACACACATCACGCACCTATAAAAATATCTTTCCTTACCATGAGTTTCTTCCTGTGACTTCCCCCACCTTGAACATTTTTTTTATGTCTTCTCTCTCCTCCATACTCCCATCCCCGAAATGGCTGTAGCAATCTTGATATTAGAAGCAGGCATCTTAAGGGGAAAAACCTCAAGGTTCCCATTTGTTTTCTAGCATTAAACTAGCAAAAGAATTTACCGGTAATCTGTTTAAAGAGGTGGAGCCTTATTAAAATCAAAAACAAATGGCTCATGAGAAAGCTTTTGTGCACTTAAGTATAACTCCTTATTTGTGTCAGCCAAAAGTTGTACTGACTTATATTGTCCTGAATTTTAACCAAATTCCAGTATCACATCATCATTACCAGTTTCACAATTTGTACCCTAGAGTTTTCTTCTTCCTTTTTTCTTTTACTGAAAAGTTGAGTTTAAGGTAAAACTTCAACCTGCAAAGTGAGCAGGGCTATCTAGCCCTCTCTCAGCTGACTTGCTTGTTTCATTTGAAATGAAACTCACTTTTGCTCTTAATACTCCCTCCTTCTCTCCTCTCCCTTACTCTCATCTACTTCCTGGAAATGTCATTCAGGTCAGAGTTCTCATATGCAACATGAGATGGTGCTCATCTTCCAGACCAGGTGCCGAAGCATTTGGGACTACACAGTACGGTGACTGTAATGTTTAGACACAGGTGTGTGAGGGAGAAGAGTCTAATGACAGAATCTTCTATTTAATGCAGACTCTACAGAAATTTTGAGTTGCTTAGATACCAGTGAGTTGTATATAAGAGTAGAATATATATATGTGTGTATATGTATACACACACACACACATACATACATACGTATATATACATGCATATCTCCATCACACCAATTTGCAAATGAAATCTACTGAAATGCAAAGAAAACCTTATTTAAAAGTTACACTATTACTAACAGTAACCATCATGATGATTTATACTATTCAGTACACTTCCACATACATTTAGTATATGTTCTTCCTAGTAATCCTCAGAACTGTGCAGGAGGTGGTTGAACATTCGTTCATTCAAGTCAACCGTCCTATCTCGTGAGGGGGCAAAAGTCCAAACAGCCCCTTTGAGCCAAATGGACGGGGAATTTGAGCAAAGGCCAGGTATTTACAGAGGCTGATTGCATCCTGGGACTCAGAGGTCAAGAAGTGACATGCAAGGTACTCAGGAGTTTCTATCATAATTTAGGCAAATGATTCGCACTAGAGTGAACAGCACAAGACTTACAGAAACCTGACAGCTGGGCAGGGAGGATGCTAATTGAGAGCCGAGCCACCAGGTGGGCATCCCTGGGATTCACGACTGACAGCTTGCCGGAGCAACAGATCCTCACCTTGTCAAGGGAAAAGTATTCATGTTCAACAGCAACATATCTTGGGGACTCCCTCCCCCCATGCTAATAGTTGTCCTCTTTGTATCTGTTAATTGAGAAATACATAATGATCAAAATCAACCAGGAATCACTAAAGCGTCGAAATGGATTTATACTTCACTGATTCCAGCAGTACTGTGCCAGTTTTCAATGTATTGCCTCTCAGTTCCAAATTCCTTCCATAACTGCTCTGCGTACGTGAACTGTAACCTTTATGCATTTCTCCTTGACAGTGAGCACAATGCTAAACTTTGTTAGTGAGGGCTTGAGCTGGAATAACATTGCTGGGGGTGGGGGGTCTTCCCGTCCTGGCTCTGGTGTGCTCAGTTCTGCTTCTTCTTGTTCCTGTTGCCTGATTGGCCTGTGGTGCCACGTGTGCCCCTGCCACATGCCCAGAGATACAGTTCCCCAGACACTATTCAGCCCCAGCCCGGGCTGTGACCTCCTTTGCACAGCCCTCCAATGTGGGCATTGCGTGCTCTGGGCCTCACAATGTCCACAGAGGCAACCTGGCTCCCTCCATGCACCTGCCAACCAGCTGCAGCTTGCCTATGTGCCAGAGGATTGCTCCCACTGTCTTCCCAACACATGCACCAAGCATTCCAGGTCTTACACTGTCTTAGTCAGTTCAGGCTGCTATAACAGAATACACAGACTGGGTGCCTTAAACAACAAACATTTATTTTTCCCAGCTCTAGAGGTTGGAAGTCTGAGATCAGGGTGCCCGTGTGGTCAGATTCTTAGTGAAGTACTTCCTCCTAGTTTATGGGTGTCTAGTCTTCTGGCAGAGAAGAGAAAGAGAGGGAAAAAGAACTAGCTGTCTTCCTCTTTAAGGGTGCTAATCCCATCATGGGGCTCCACCCTCATGACCTAATTACCTCCCAAAGGCCTCACCTCCAAATACCATCATATTTGGGCTTCAACATATGAATAGGGTGGGGGGGGGGTAAACATTCAGTTCACAGCATGCACCTTCCCCACTCCTTTGCAAGCCCCCCCCCCCCAGCCTGTTCCCAGGCCCTGATCGGAGATTGCTCCCTGCTTGCCCAGGAACTATGGACCAGCTCTGGTCCCAGCAAACAGTCGTCTTCTCTGACATCCAGTGGGCTACAAACACACCTTCTCCAGCAAGGCCTGAACCCCTCCTTCCAAGTTGTCCTCTCATGGGTACTTCCTCCGTCCTAGGATGCCCTTTAAAGTTCTTTTTACATCTTTATAGTTACTCTTCTATCATAGTTTGATAACTCTTTATGTTAAACAGCCCCTGTTTTACATTACTGTGTGGTTTTTGTGTCTTGATTGAACCAAGATTGATACAAGTTCATTTGGAAAAGTAACAACACATATTTGTATGAGTTAGTCAATCTACAGACAATAGTTGGAATATAAAAGAATTAACTTTCTTACAACTGCTACCTGAAATCTTTCAGGTATCCACAGTCACCAGGTTGGGAAACCCTGGGCTAGAACTGGACAGATGGGCAAGAACAGAAGCAGAATCCCTGACATGGAAATGGAGCTGTTCAGGGAATGAGATGCATGGCCTGGGGTAGGGGGTGGGGCAACTGTGAGTGTTAGGGAACCATGCTGATTCTTGTGGTCAGCCTTGCCTCCTCTTCTTTATTGAGAATCTATGAATATCACAAAGACGAAATCTGTCTTGGATTGAAGGGGTGAGGAGAAGGGAACTGAGCCTATTCTAGGTCAGGATGGGTTCAGATGCTGGACTGGGATGGAACACGCAGGTAGGAGAGGAGAGGCAACAGCAAACCCAAGAGTGAAGATCTGAGATAGGCCCGGGAAATGAAGGGCAGATGACCCAGCATTTATCAAGCACCTGTTTGACAGGTGAGGCTATAAAGCAGGGGGTACCAAGTGAACTGCTGGAGAGCACTCAGTTTACAGGTGAAACATGCATGATTGGAAAACAGGTCCTCTGACTTCTAAATAGGTTCCTCTTTATCACACTGCCAATCCTATCAGAGCTTACTATTGGGAGCAGAATAGAAGGTTTCCATTATTTTCAATGATCTGGAACAGATTAAACAGCATAGAAATCATCTTTTTTTGGAAGGTATTTATGGAATTAGTCTTTCAAAATATCCAAATCTGGCTTTAGGAGGATTACATTTTAGGAAATATTTTAAATTCCTCTTTGGTTTTCCACCTAATTGGTTTCTTTTGTTATTTTTTTTGCTTTTTTCTTTTAAGCCATTCCTTGAGTCAATTTTGGTAATTTAAAATTCCTGCAAAAGAGTACTGATTTTATCTAAATATTCAATTTCTTTGCTTAATGTTATAAATACTATTTACTGCCTAAGTATCCTCTATATCTGTGGTTAAAACCCATTTCCCACATCAAATGGTGTTACTGTTTTCCTCCTTTTCTTCATGGTCATGGATACCAAGGATCTTTTCATAGAACCACCTCCATATTTTCCATACCATTCCATTCCGCTGCTTTCTTTCTTTCTTTTTCTTTCATTCATTCATTCTTTCTTTCTTTCTTTCTTTTTTTAATTTGATAGGAGGAGTGTTACAGGGAATCTCAGGTGCAGAGATAAGAGTTAATCATACTTCCTTCTTTATGACTCATTTTTACAATTGCTCTGTACAAGACTCTCTATTTCAATTCTTTTATTTATTTTTTTACTTTACTGTAATCCCTACCCCCATTCCTTTCTCCTAAATAGACTTCTTCCAGTTCTTGGATCAGTGTGTTTTCTAGAAAAACATAATATCTTTTTTATTTATTTCACTCTGTAATTTTTAAACCTATCCATATTGTATGCTTATATTAGTTTCTTATTGCTGCCATAACAAATTATCTCAAATTCAGAAGCTTAAAACAACAAAAGTTATTATCGTATGGTTCTGGAGATCAGAAGTTCAAAGTTAATATCAACTACCACCTTAAGTCACTGGGCTAACGTCAAAGCGTTGCCAGGGTTGGTTTTTTCAAAGACTCTTAGGGAAGAATCTTGTGTCCTTGACTTTTTCAGCTTCCAGAGGCCACCTGCATTCCTGGGCTCATGACCCCTTCCTTCATGCCAGCTTCTTGCTTCCTTCATTACATCTCCTACTCCTGTGATCCTACTGCCTTCCTCTGTTAAGGACTCCTGTTATTGCACTGGGCCCACCTGGGTAATCCAGGATACTCTTCCCCCACCTCAAGACTCTTAACATTACTTAATCACATCTGCACAGGTTCTGGGGATTAAAACGTGGCCATCCTTAGAGGACCATTATTCAGCCTACAACAGTACTCATCTAATTCATCTCTTCTAACAGGTGTGTAGTATTCCATGTCATATGTGCACCATCCTTAACTTATCCATGCCCCGAGGGATGGACACCTGCTAACATGGACACCTCTTCAATGAATATCCTCTAACACATCCTCTTAAGAATCTGTGTGAGACTTTCTCAATGCTATACAGAGGGAAAATGAGGGGTGGGAGGAGCTGATACAAATTACCAACCATCTGGAAGGGTACAAGGGCCTAGCGTGATATCAGTACAAATCCCATGTAAAGGTGTTTGAGGAAGTCCACCCTTGATAGGAGACCCGAAAACAATTTTCCCTAAAGGGCCAAAATTCCATGCCATAGCCCTGAGTTATACCCAGAAATGTTGCTAATTGCAGTATGTAGACAGGCCATTTCTCCAATATGTCTAGGTTGCTCTCCACCTGCAGTGCAAGGAGGTTCTTATTTCCCACACATCCCTGCTAACATGGTAATAATATCTGCGTATAGTCAGGCCATCCAAGATGGCTGTTCTCTTGCTCTCTGTACATCTCCTGCTCAACCGGCCCTGCTTGACACACATGACTATCCAATACTCTTTTTTTTTTTTTTTTTTCCCCTGGCCGTGCCATGCAGCATGCGGGATCTTAGCTCCGCAACCAGGGAACGCACCCTCACGCCCTGAATTGGAAGCGCGGAGTCTTAACCACCGGACCGCCAATACGCTTGATTACAGGGCTTAATTAGTCCCTGCCTACATGCTTGCCTCTGCCCCAGCCGCTGGTTTCCCTGGTAATTGATGGGCCAATCAGATGTCAATTCCGCCTGTAAATGGTAGCCTCCTTCTCCCCCAGATAGTGCAAATGGTTGCCATGTCCTGCCTGGCGGTCTGCAGTTCACAGTGGGATGTCGCTCCAGGACCCTTCTGCTTCAGACCGGTAAGACCCCTGTCCAATGAACTGTTGCTGTCTCTGTCGCCGTCTCTGGTCTCTTTCTTCAGTCTCAAGGCTGGGCAACTATAAGGCGTGCAAGCCTGCGGGGTGCGGCCCAACAACCTGATTTTCTAATTATTTACTCTTCTTAAGGGAGCTAATGTTTTCTCATTATTTTCATCAAGTTCCTATCGTGAGGTTAACCGTCTGTTGATATGCTTGTTATCCATTCTGCTTTCTATTTCTAGGAATCTTCACTCATTTTCTTCCAGGGTATTTCATTTGTGGTGGTGGTTGATGTTGCTGTTTTTATCCATTTGCAGGAATTCCTTGTGTTTTCTAGATTTATTACTTGTCAGTTATAAATATTGCAAATACCTTCTCTTAATATACTGTGCATCTCAGCTTTTCTATGTTGCCTTTTATTTAGCAGGAGTCTTTAATTTTGACATAGTCAAGCTCATTAGCTTTTTACCTTAGAGTATGAGTACTTGCCTTCTAACTCACTAATTTCTACATTTATTTTCATTTCTTCCTTTCCCTTGTTTTTTGTTTACTCTGTCTTTTTTTCTCGAGTATCTTGAGCTAAATGTCTACATAATTTTCATCTTTCAGTTTTTAATTTAATCAGTGGATATTAGTTAATATTCCTTTGGTGAGAGATGTTTTTGAACTTGACAAATTTTCAAGTAAATTTTTAATGTATTTTGCTTCAATCTTTAACCAAAATATTTTTCTGCTTTGAGCTATTTCCCATCCAGTACTTTGTAGATGTTAAGTGCATTCACAAAAAAGGTATATTTTATTATAGCTGGACTAAATTAAATATATTACTGGAAATCGCAGTCTGCATGTCATAAAGAGGAAAAGTAAGGTATCCATTAGCAAGTGAAAAGAAACTGCAAGTACAAACCAAGCCCAGCCCTTCCTATCTTAATTTCCTTCTCTCAGCTGTTAAATTTTGAAACTTGGGATTGTTTTGAGATGTTGATTTTTACTTTACTTGTTTGTATGACGATGGTGATTTGTGGGAACACTTGAAATCCTTTGGTATGGAAACAGTAAGATTAGAAAGGGAAATTGAAAGTCATTTTGTCAGTTCATTATTATCATACAATTTTTTAATTATTGCAATGAGGATAAACTAATCTATACAGAACCTATATTTTCAGCCAGTGCAGCATATACAAACTGCAACTTTAGAAAGCAAAAGAAATATAGAAGCTGAACTATATTTTATTCACTTGTTCAACAAATGTTAAAGGCCTACCACGTGACACTGTTCTGAACACTGGGAATACAGCAGTTAACAGGGTAGACTAGATCCGCAGTCTAATGGAGCTTTTGAGTGAGAGAGGCTGTGATAAAGAAATAAACAGATAAATAAATAAGGTAATTTTAATACAGGTATTAAACGAAAAAGATAAAACATGATGGCATATGAGCCAATAACTTACCTGATAAGAAGCAGGCACCCATCCACATGGAGGTCACCTGGTGGAACATCTGGGTGGAGCCACAGCAAATGCATATGAGCCCAACGACGCCCTTCTCTTCTTCCTCCAAAATGCAGCAAGAATCAGGCTTATTAGCGTGGACAGCTAGAAATGAGAGAAACTGTTCCACATGCCTGTTCATCACAAAATTCATCACACAAACAGAATTGAGTGTTACACTCTTCTCTCGTGATGAGACATGCAACAGGGAGAAGTCATCCTTTTGCAGGAAGGCTAATTTTGGAAAAATGTTTATGGATTGTTTTCTTGGAGAAAAGTGGGGAGAAATAGGTTCAGATATCCATAAGGATAGACTTCTCAGCCAGTAACCACCATTTCCCAGGGAAGTCAGACAGCCCAGCTCTCAACACACAAATTCAAACATCCCAATTCAGCATGTTTCTTCCACCCCAAACTTTTCATCCAACCAGAGGGGTTCCTTCTCAGTCCTTCCCCCTCCAATTTCCATCCCAGGTAGCTCTAGGCTTTCACATTCCAGGATATTTCCCCAGGCATCTATATCTCTTCTGTTTCTTACCAGAACAATTTATATCCACCCTATCCAACATCCTCTTAACTCCTAGGCTCACATTGAGACCTCAGCAAAAGAGACGGCCCCTTCAGATACTAAGGCCACCCATTAGAAGGCAATGGCAAGGACTTCCCTGGTGGTCCAGTGGTTAAGACTCTGCTTCCACTGCAATGGCTGTGGGTCTGATCCCTGGTTGGGGAACTAGGATCCTGCATACCACGTGGTGTGGCCAAAAAAAAAAACCACAGGCAGTGATAAGTTATAAATGAGACCAAGACCCCTTTAAAATTCTGTCTCCTATTGTGATTTGGCATTCTACCATTTTCAATAACAATTGTTTTGTGTTGTGTGTTGTATGTGTTGTTCAGGTTTTAGAAGCTACATAACCAGCATGTATTACAGTAACTTCATGGTGCTGACAAGCGTCTGTACAAATTTCGTTAACTGAACTGGTTCTGAAGCTGATTCATTGTGGCTTTCCTTGACTGACCTTATAAATTACTTAATTTCAACATATAGTCTGTCTCACGGTGCTTCCTAATTTCTTAAGACAACTAGTCTGAAGATAAGATGGAAAAGAAGACCATATTTACAGTAGCATCTAAAAAGATAAAATACCTAGAAAAAGATGTTTTAAATGTGCAACTTCATGTGAGGAAAATTGTAAAGCCCTCCTGAAGAACCTAACAATAGACTTTGCAGGGGTTCAGAGCATACCACCCTAAAATATGCCACTCTGATGTAAGGATTATTCTGAGCTAAAGGCAATTGAAAAGAAGCAGACACACACACACACACACACACACACACACACAAAAACATTTCTGCCCTCCCTTCCTCTACCAAGAAAGGCAGGACAATTCTTTTTTTTTTTTTTTTTGCGGTACACGTGCCTCTCACTGTTGTGGCCTCTCCCGCTGCGGAGCACAGGCTCCGGACGCGCAGGCTCAGCGGCCATGGCTCACCGGCCCAGCCGCTCCGCGGCATGTGGGATCTTCCCGGACCGGGGCACAAACCCGTGTCCCCTGTATCGGCAGGCGGACTGTCAACCACTGCGCCTCTAGGGAACCCCAGGGCAGGACAATTCTTAATCAACAGAGACAACTTTAGACTCTTATCAGCCCAGAGAAATCTACATAACAAATCTTACTAACTAGTCCTCATCTTCCATTGGTTTCACACATGTATCTACCTTCCCACAGTTTACAAGCCCTTAAAAACCTAAACCCCTTATCCTTTGTCTTGTCACTTCTTAACAAATGTATTGTTCTTTCGCTAAGATACTATGTAAGCCCCAGTTCTAACCACCGCTTTGAGTTATTCATCACTGATGAGTACAGCACGTGTTAATAAAGCGTTTTTTCGGGCTTCCCTGGTGGCGCAGTGGTTGAGAGTCTGCCTGCTAATGCAGGGGACATGGGTTCGAGCCCTGGTCTGGGAGGATCCCACATGCCGCGGAGCAACTAGGCCCGTGAGCCACAACTACTGAGCCTGCGCGTCTGGAGCCTGTGCTCCACAACAAGAGAGGCCACGATAGTGAGAGGCCCGCGCACCATGATGAAAAGTGGCCCCCGCTTGCCACAACTAGAGAAAGCCCTCGCACAGAAACGAAGACCCAACACAGCAAAAATAAATAAATTAATTACTAAACTCCTACCCCCAACATCTTCTTAAAACTAATAATAATAATTGGAAGAAATCTTATAACTACATCAGCCACCTAGAAATTCAAGAACTTCCTCAAATATTAAAAATAAATAAATAAAAAATAAAGTGTTTTTTCTCTTGTTAGTCTTTTGTCGGTCTCATTGCAGGGCCCCAGCTGAAGAACCTGGCAGTTAGAGGGCAATAGTTTTTCCTCCCCTAGAACTTCAATGTATATAAAGACATATCTTAGATATCATGGATAGAAAGACTCAATAAGGAAAAGGTGCCAGTTCTCCCAAAGTTAACTTCTAAATATGGCATTATCTGCCCCAAATAACACCATAAAGTTCATGTGGAAAAATAAATTTAAATAGCTAGATAAACTAAAAGAAGAAAGAATGTGGGAGAGTCAGTTTACCAGATATTAAAACTCACCACAGAGTCTTAATAACTACATGTCTGGTTGGTACATAAATAGACCCGTAGATTTGAAGAAAATTTTAAAAATAGACACACATTCAGTAATATAGTGTATGATAAAGATGACATCTATATCAATAGAAAAAATGGATCTTTAGATTAATGGGACAACTTGTCCACCTAAAGAAAAGATAAAATAAAATTGGATCTATACCTCACATTATACATAGGGATAAACCTTCAATTATAGCAAGTATTTAAAAGTATAATGAAGTTTTTAAAAATCACAGAAGACAACGTAAGTGAATTCCTTGCTAACCTTGGAGTAGGGAAGTCCCTTATATGACTGAAAATTCATGTCATAAAATCAAAGACGATAAACTACATATGTATTTTAAAATCCATTAGCATGACAAATACACCATAAGCAAAGTAAATGACAAAATAGTAAGCTGGAAAAAAATTGCAGATCCTATAAATGACTAATACTGTTCTCCTGAATAGATAATGAACTCCTAAGGAGCTCCCAGGAATAAAGAAGATTAGGAAGAACCCAACAGAAAAACAGGCAAAGCACATGAACAGACATTTCATAGAAAAATATTCATAGCCAAATGGAATACAAATTAATATGAGAAATACAAATAAAAATGCCATTACTTTACCATGAAGAGAAAAATGGCGCAGGCCCTGTGCAGGGGACTCTGGCACTACTTGCCAACATGACAGGTTCTGTGATCCTTAGACCGGGCAGTCCCACACCTGAGCATCTTTCTTACAGTTACATCTGCACACATAGTAAATGAAAACGTGCAAGACTGCTTATTGTGACGGAGTTTGGATAGGACCCAAATAAAACATGGCATATTTACAAAATCAGTCCTATGCAGCTGTAAAAAAAATAATGAGCAACTTTTCCGCACTGATGTACAGAGGCATTTGGGCTGTCCTGTTAAGCAGAGAAAACAGCATGCAAAACTCAATACGACGTGGGCTGCATTTTTGTGTAATAAAATGAGGAGGATGGGTAACAGTATATTTTGTTCTATCTGCGTATGTAAAAAGACCTGTTGGAAAGGTAAATACGCCAACAAACCAAAAGTAGTACAAAGAGTGGGAAGTGAGAGAGGATAGGACAGATGGGAAGGGACAGATGTGAAGTGGACTTCTTTGTGTGTACCTTTTATATCATTTTGATTTTGAACAGTCTAAATATATTAGCAACTTGGAAAAAAATAGAGTGTTATTTGAAACAAGAGGGTTTTTCATTGCAAATGAGACAGTTCTTTAGTTTCCATACTTTACAACATGACTTTTCAGCTGTTTTTTTCTTTATGGCAAGAGTCATGGTGGATAATTACACTTAATCTCAAAATATCCCCCTCCCTACACACTCACGCTATATCCCCACCAGTCTCTCCTCCTGCCCACCATGTCCCCACTCAATCGATGAGGGCCTTCACCTCCCAGCCTCTGACACCAGCTGTGTTCACTCCTTCATCAGATTTGTGTGCAGTTTGCAGCAAGCTGAGTCCAAAGCATTAAAAGCCATCACTCCCATATATGTCCATGATATGATGAAAAAGAAAGAAAGCTTCAGTGTAACCAAAATACTTCGACAGTGACTTAGAATAAAATTGTGAAGTGAGGATTGTCCTTGATTCACTTCTCTCTCCCATTCTAAGGACCACCTGCCACACTGCGCTGTCTTCTTCCCTGGGATGCTCAGCTCCCACCTGGTACCCAGCGCCTTCCCGTGAAGAAGAGCTCCAATGGGTTGAGCCCCACATAAGGTAGCTGTTATTTATCATGTACTCATTTATTCTCTCCCTACCTTATTCCAGCTAGTGCTTTAGAAAGATGGTAGGATTACTTTCCACTTTTTTATGGAAATAGAACCTGAGGCCCAGAGAACTAAGTAAATTCCCATTATCCCCAGAACTTCAAGTAGCAAAATCAGGACTGGAATCTAGGAACATCTCATGCCTAAACTTGCCTCTCTTGCCTGACCTGTATACACACTATCGCTGTATCTTCCTCATGGAGCAAGGAAGATTTCTCTCTCTCTCCCTCTGTCCTGTCCACTATTCCTAGGGAGCTATCGCTGTGGAAATCAATCTGGTAAATTAAATGTGCTCTAATGATAAGGGCCAATAAGGGTTAATAATAGCCTGTCATACATAATAGCTAAGGTTTATTGAGCACTTACTGTGGGCTAGTGAGTCACTGAGCAAAATGCTTTATTTATGCAACATTATAATCTTTACTAGATTTTTAAGAAGTGGACATTACTATTACCTTCATTTTACAGATGAAGACATTTAGACTTAGAGGACAGGGACGTTCCCAGATTATTGTTAAGAAGTGGCAGAGCCTGGATGGGACCAGATAGGACATTTTGAAACTGGGTGCTCGGCCATCGCACGGGTCTGCCTCTCTCATTCATCCCTCCAGAGACACTTGTAACTGAAGGAAACAGTCTTGGCTGAAGAACAGATTTAATCGCAAGAAATAAATCTGAAATAGTGACCTCCTAATCTCCAGCTGGGAGATACTTGCTACATGAAGGAGCTTTCTTAAGGACTTTCCCAGCTCTTCCAAATATGCATACTTCCTCTGTAGGCCAGTCTTGGCTCCCCTGAAATCAACCCAAGTTGAGTTTTTATACTGAATCAAAATAAGACTATGTTTCTCCTTAGGTCTCAAGGGATTCGTGGTATATGCGTCCAAAGAAATCACATCCACAACTCAACAAGTTGCATCCCTACAACATCTGGCCAGTCGGCAGCTTCCAGGGCCAGTTACTCTAATTTTTCAGCCCCAAACCCTTTCTTCCAGCTCTAAGTGTATTCTCCCTTAGTCAGAGAGGGAAGGCGAAACGCATTCCCAGGCAAGCATTTTCTCAAGAATGTTCCGGGGAACTTTATGTCCATAAGATGCTTTGTCCCCTCCCCAAAGTGTGAGTTAAGCCGTTTGGGAACGATGGACCTGCACCATACATGCATTTTTTCTCACTGGAATTAAACTACACTTACCTCACACACAAAAAAAGGAAGGAGTCGTGGGAGAATCCTTTATATCCTCTATTTCTCTTCCTCCATTTCAAACTAGACTTGGTCTCCACCATCAAAAGAATAGAGAGGGGCTTCCCTGGTGGCACAGTGGTTGAGAGTCCGCCTGCCGATGCAGGGGGCGCAGGTTTGTGCCCGGGTCCGGGAGGATCCCGCACGCCGTGGAGCGGCTGGGCTCGTGGGCCATGGCCGCTGGGCCTGCGCATCCAGGGCCTGTGCTCCGCAACAGGAGAGGCCACAACAGTGAGAGGCCCACATACTGCAAAAAAAAAAAAAAAAAGAATAGAGAGAATAGAGAAACAAAGACATTAATTCTCTACTGTTGTGATTCCATAAGCCCAGCAATATTGTTAAAGGTAGTTTCCCTCCTTACAAGCAACTACTGTTATTTGAAGGGTCATTGTGACTGTATGCTGTTTTTTGCCTTTTTCAAGTCTCTTTAGAACAAACCATTCTCCTGTATGGTTTTATTGTTTATATATCACCTATATATAAACACATCATCTACGGCTGCTTTCATGGTACAACAATAGAGTTGAGTAATTGGGACAGACACCATATGGCTCACAAAGCCAAAAATATTTACTATCTGGCCCTTCACCCAAAAAAGTTGACCAACCCCTGCTTTAGAACTTCACCGCCTGCAAGACATAACCCCACTCTAGTGGTTAAGGATTTTATGCTGGAGTCAAAGCAAGAATTCCAATGAGAATTCAGTGCCGCAGCTTTGTTGGTCGTGCTCTTAGCCAAGTTTCTTAACTTCTTCTAAACGTCAGCTTCTTTATCTATAGAACAATATCTGTAAGAACAGCACCGGCTCCTGGGGTTGTAAGGATTTCGTGAACTACCCACCACATGTAGACACAAACTATAGTACTTGACACGAAGCAAGTCCTCTAAAGGTATTGGCTATTATTATCAATATTATGGTTGATATGATTATTGATATTTTGGTTAAGATTTACAGGCCTGTGAGCATAATTAAGAATCTGAGAAGAATTTTAGGAATAGAAAATTTTTCTTTGTTTACCATTTCTCAGATTTCTATGACCAAGAGTGCCTTGTCAGAGACAATGCCCGACCTTAAGGCATTAGTGCGAAGAGTCTGTCTTCCTTCAGGTCCTGCCTCTCCTCCCTTACATCTCTCACCTCTCACTCTCTTTCCTTCTGTGGTCTGGATCTACCTGTGAAGTGCTTAATGCTTCAAACCTCAGCGTTTCCTCACCCCTCATTTCCAGCAAACTGTGCTTATCCTGCCACTCGATTCGCTGGGGATCCAGCTCTCAGCTAATTGAAAGCCAGCCAGTGCGATAGATGAGCTGGTCCTTGCTAACATATTAGTGTCTGAGGATGTTACCTCTTTGCATTCTAATGGGGCCTTTGGACATGTAATGCCTTGCCCAAAGCAATCATTCTAATCAATCTGGGAACTTCAGGCACTGGGACAGTCAGCTAAGGAAGAGATGTTAGGGCAAGGAACCATTTGGCACTCTTCCAATTCACAGTGTATATCTGTTGTCTATAAATAAAATGAGTCTAGGATAATTGCCAAAGGAATACTTGGGCATTTGTTCTGGTTAGGGCAGCTAGGGAAGAGATCTGGAAACAAACACTCATCCTCACACAGATGCTAGTGACACTTCACCAAGCCTCCCTGAACTGGATCACTGGCTTCATCGTTATCTCACCCATGCTTTTCTCCCCAGCATCATGTTCCATCCTGAGGTTGCAGGCCCTGGAAGGGAGCCAAGATCTGGGATGGGAAGAGGAGACAGCTTCCCTCTGCAGTCAACTCTTGGCGTTCTAGACATAAGAACACCTAATCCAAGCTGGGCTTTCTTCCGGGAATTTGAGCTTTGGTGGTAATCCCAGGTATGGACGTTCCAGAGATGAGGAAACCAAAACTCGGAAAAATTAAGTATCTGCTCAAGTTTCAACAGGCAGTAAAGTGGTAAGTCTTGAATTCAAATTCAAATCTCTTAGACTCCAAAGCCCCTTCTCTGTCTACTACACGCACTACCTCTTGAAAAAGACGGTTTTAGCCACCACTGAGAAGTGATGAGGCTCTTTCACCACCTCAAAAATAGAATTTAATAACATAGGCAGAATAAAAAAAAAGAAAAACAAATAATAACATAGGCACTTCTTTAAAGTGGGCCAATGTTCATCCAATTAATTCAACACTTTATTCTAAAAATCTTACCCAATTCTTATAGCACGCACTGCTCTAGAATGAGCAAAGAGAATGGACATGCCTGCCTGTCCTGCATCAGAATACTTTATAAGTTCATCTTTCCACATCTGTGCACCTATGCTAGATGGAGACCTCCTTTGCCCCTGGAGCTTCCAGACTCTGAAAGCGCAGCCTGGGCCATATTTTCTTTCCTTCTCTCCTATAGGTGAGCAAGTAAACTATTTCTGTTTACATAAAATTTCTCTTATGTGTCCTTGTTGGATGGGCCTGACCTAGGTTTTTAAAATAACATAGTCTGAAAGAGGGGGATGATGGATATCAAATGATATGGTACTTGTTTTCCATTGGATAGATTTTAAAAAGTGATGTTTTAAAAATCTGTTGTTTACAATATGTAAGAAATTACATCCCTTGCCACTGTTTAAGCTTGTGATGACAAATTTCAGAATGTCAAGCTGAAAATATGCATGGCAGTAGTTAGTTTTTCAAGTAATTTTAAGGGATCAAAGTAAAGATGTTTGAAGATCAATACTGTAAGAGGATGGATACCTATGTTAACCCCCAGGACTGGGCAAGGGAACGAGGAGGAGTAGTCAGAGGATTGGCTGGAGGAGGTGGTGGGTAGGAAGTCTTGAAGGGCTAGGAGTAAGGGTGGTCACCATAGTGGAGAGGGGAAGAACTTTCTGGGGAGGGTGGGGGAGGGACCAGTATGTGCCAAGGCTCAAAGACAGGAGAGAGCCTGGCATATCTGGATATGACTGACACGCAGTTTCAACATAGGCAAGTGGTAAAAAAATGAGACTCGGAAAGATGGTGGGGATTCACATAAGGAAAAAAAAAAACCTACCCTAGCAATACCTTTTTATGCATTTCCTTTGTCATGATTCTGGGCTCTGGGTAACGGTTGACATGGACTTGAGTCCAGTGAACCTGGCACTGAATCCCAGCTCCACTCCTCTTACCTGTGAGAAGTTGGACAAATGATCCTCTAGGTCTTTGCTTCAGTATTTGTAAAAAAGAAAATTAAGAGTACTTCCTTCATAGAGCTGCTTTTAAAATTAAGTAAGATACACATGTAAAACATGTGGTACAATGTCTGATATATAATAAGCACTAAAAAATATTGGCTATTATTTACATTATTATTTCTAAAACTGTACTTAAGTCTGATCCGATCATTCCCCTGCTTAAAATCCTTGGGTTCTTTCCTTTTGCCTTCAGGATAAAAGTCCAAACTCTCTAAAGCTATCTGAAGCTTCCCCCTCCCTGTGTCTCAGTGGCAATACCTACGCAGGTCACTCCCCAGAACTGGAATGAGAGAAGTAATAAAGTAATATCACCATGAGCAACTTAAGCTGTCACAGATAATGTGGAACTAAAGGACCTAGTGATGCCCTCTACGTCCAGGAAGTCAGGGAATCTATCCCTGCGTTCAGCTCTGTCCCCCACCATCTCTCTGCTGTGCCATCTCTGTCCCCCACCATCACCCTGCTGTCCCAGCTCTGTCCCCACCACCTCTCTACTGTCCTAGCTCATGCTTCTACAGTGTGGTTAGTGCCTCAGGGTGTCAGATATCTGATGAGCCTATATTAAAATGATGCAGAGAAGAGGCAACACACTCCATTCTCAAATGTCAAGCCTTTGTGGAGGAATGCTCAGTACAGTGAAATTGAGAGAGGGAAGTTAACCAGTGATTTTGAAATATGTGGTGGGAATTGCCCCAATCTAAATATCTTTTAGTTCCTTTTTATCACTTTTTTTCTATTTTATTTTACACTGTTTGAAAGAGAAGTTTCTCGGATGGGAGCGGGAGGCTTGGGAGGGGGGCCATTATCATGGGCTGTATCCTAGCTTTCAGCGCTCCCTCCCCGATGTCTTGTCTCTGCTGGCAGGGAGGAGGTTAGCAGGTTTGTGTCACCAATGGCTAGAAGGCCTGGAAGCTAGCATTTGCAATGTCCTGACTCTGATCACAGCTCTGTGTGTATTCCCTCAGGGGGCAGAACTCATTACTTCTGCCCAAAAAGCCTCATATCTCACCCATGACCCCTAGACTATGACACAAAAAAATGGAGAGATAGAAAACACATTTCAAATACATCTTATATAACTTATCGAAAGAAACGACTATCTGATTAACTGAGACAGGTAAGGGAAAAAGAGATATCTAGGAAAATTCCCATACCTCTAGCTTCCGTGACTAAGTGGATGGCTATACCATTCACTGAGATAGGAGTTACGAGTTAAGGGTTTTAACTTATAAACTTTAGGTCCCCGTGAGATGGTTAAATGGAGATGGTCAGTAGGCAGCTAGGTCTACGGGTCTGAAGACCAACGTGAGATCAGGGCTGGAGGTATAGACAAGGTTGTAATTAAAGCTGCTGGCTACTCATGAGCCTGCCCAGGTAAAATAAACAATGCTAAGAAAAGAAGAACAAAGGCAGACCCCTAGGAAATTGCATCATTTAAAGATAAGAGTCCACAAAACAACTGACAGAGGGTTAGAATGAAAACCAAAGAGAATGTTATCTGAGCAACTAATGGAAGAATTTTTTTTTTTTAAAGGAGGACATGGTTAACTGAGTTGCATGTAAAAGAGGTCACAGACAGGACTCACTCATTCATTCACTCATTCATTCAACAGATATTGAATGTCTAATCTGTGCCATAGATTGTTCTAGATGCTGGGCACAAAGGTAACTATGAAACCATCTTGCTGGCAGGGAACTTAGTGTATTGAGTGAGACAGAAAAGAAAATAGACAATTACAGGACTTCCCTGGTGGCGCAGTGGTTGAGAGTCCGCCTGCCGATGCAGGGGACACGGGTTCGTGCCCCAGTCCGGGAGGATCCCACGTGCCGCAGAGCGGCTGGGCCCGTGAGCCATGGCCACTGAGCCTGCATGTCCGGAGCCTGTGCTCCTCAACAGGTGAGGCCACAACAGTGAGAGGCCCGCATACAGCAAAAAAAAAAAAAAAATTGACAGTTACAACATCAAATATAATAAATAAGTGGGGGTGTTATGAGGTGACATGGATGCGTCAGGGCCTTAGGGACATCACTTTCAGT